CTATGGCCAATGCACCTTATGAAGTATCAACCTAACTGAGTAACCTAATACAGTGAAGACTGTATCTTCTGTAACAACGTGATTCTGCCCGTAAGCTGACCTGCCTCGTGTAACAGACTTTTATTTTATAATAAATTGTTACTGTTATAATTAATCCTTTTGGAATCTTCTGTAAATCACGATACACATTTTCACCTCTAATGACCTTAGTATGTCAATATCTGTAATAGTCTTGATCTTAAATATTATAGGCTATAAGCGGCTGATAACCGAACGAAATCAAATGAATTCATATTATCCTGCACTAATCTTTATTTTTGTTCTCTTTTAGAAAATTCATCTTATGTTCTATGAGTAATTAACGAGCCCGACGTAGATGTTTGATTTATATTGAAACGGTGGACAGGTCTATGCGATTTATGCCAAGTCCATTAGAATACAATATTAGGCTATAGCTACTTTCTTTACAGTACCTAGTGTAACCTAAAGTGAACTGGTCAATCGAAAGTCACTTTTATACTTTTGCCCATCGACTTCCGTGACCGTTTATCTGAGACTTTTATGCCATAACACTTCGAGCCTATGACAGTTCTATGAAGACCTCCACACGAAATAACTTCGTAGTCAACCTTACCTGCAAGTGATTCGCCTACTTGGGGGACTCCGTTTTTCATGTCCACCATCAGGGACTTCTCAGTTGAATTCATACTACCATTCCCGTAGTCGTCCTTGCAATAATCACATGGGTTTTACTATTTGTAAGCGAATTTTTCATTCTGCTTTCATTTCGAATCAGCAGTATCTGGCTTAAACAAAAAAATATGCAGAGGCTGTAAGATCTAGGCTAGGGAGGTTCTTAAATGCACTATGTTAATTGTGTAGACGTCGTATGGTAGGATTCGCTACAATTATCACATGTCATTCTAACCGTACTAAGGAACAAATTCCACCGCTCACACACATGAGCAAAGTCGACCGCTAGAAGTTTGCAAAAAAGTTCATCCTGTGAAAAAACTTACGCCAAAATAATAATACAGACTGTGTGAAGTTCAATACAATGACAGAAATGATCAATTAAATATCTAAGCATTTTCAAAAAGCAACGTAAAAGATCTCTGAAAGTTTTAACTTCAATGGAAACAATGTCAGGAAAAGATAGGAAAATATGCACGGAAGAGCTAATACACGAATTCAAAAATCACAGCTTTTTTAAAACTGATTTTATGTTCTCTGACGACTGACTTAATATTCTTAATTTCGTTATTGCTTGTTATTTTTTGATCAGTCGCTAAATTGTTTATTCAGCCTGTCAAAGTGAAGCAAAGCTTCGAAGAATGATTTACCCAATTCGAATTTTTCTCCGTCAAATCAAACAGGTAAATAAGATCCTTGGTATGCTTTTTTTCTTTGCAGTTCCAAATTTTTCATTACTCCGTCCTCATTCATCCCTACAAATAGGAGAGGTATTCATTGGGCAATTGAAGTTTCTAATATACAGGAATATCTTTTCTTTTTGCACGCTTGATACTAAATAGCCCATGATCACACTGTAGAACTACGAAATCGAACAGTGTAGGGGTTCAATTGATCCGTTATTTGTTCATGCTATTTTGGTTACATTGCGCTCGGACGCAAGGATTTGATTTACTTGTAAGTCCCGCGGGTTTTACTGGTCTCAAGCTATAAGGTATGGCATGATAAAATGATCTTTTGTATTTCAACTTTTAAGTCATGTGTAATCTTTTCATTAGTTCAATAGAACCATTTTACCTGTTACTAGCTATTTATATCCCCATCAATTGTTACTCTACGCTACAAAGCTAAACGTTGGTTCTGAAACAAGCTGAAAATAATGGAAATAGGTGGTTTTAAAGTGCAAAACGACTATGGTATACCATATTTTGAAAAGCAAAATATAGGCAGATAATATGTATAGCATGGATGTCAAATATAAAGTGAATGGAAAAGTGGTAATATTTAGTAAAACGATAATGACTTGTTATGCAAACATACACTGTTTAGTCTACAAGTTACCTGGTAGACGAACTTCGGTCATTTCCCACGGTTCCAAAGTCTAAAGACCGTAGAACTATGTTACAAGACGATGGAGAGCTTATGTAATGGTGTTTCAGATAGCGGAGTTGAAGTACCTAAAATGCTTTGAAAGTATGCCACGTAAAAGTGATGCTATCAGTTACTAGTTTTGGTGTGATCCAAGTTTGGGTTTCTGATAGATTTCAAGTTCACCATAATCTTTATGATTGTGAAAACACGAAAAATTAAATATTTAAGAGACAAAGTAAATAGTTAGTAACAAAATGAGTTGAAAAAGTTCAAACGTTCAGAATTTGTTGGCATATCGAATTTCTGGTTCATATCTAGTATATAGCAGAAATAGCTCCGAGTTTTTAAACTTAGGACATAAGTATTTAGAACACTAATAAGAACTCGAATTATATACTAAATCAAGTGACTTGTGTGACGCATATGTATTCGGTGCCCCTTTGTACCAATATTTATATGTTCACATGAATAAGTAAACTTAATCACAAGGATGATTTTGAATATCTTTTGTTACTATTATATGTTTCAACCAAGCTGTCCCATGCCTGTAGGTCACCAGGATTTTGTGGTGTTAGAAATGTGAATTGCCTAAGACCGCGCTTCACGACCTAAAACGAACAGATTCATCGATCACTTCCTAACTGGCGATTCACTGAAGTACTGTGGACACTATATCAAAATCTCTACTTTCGGCGAGTATAAGTTACTCGTCGTATAATGAAGAGACGATTTGAGGTCTTCCTCAGCTTCCATTGCAATATGTTAAGCCAGTTGACCTCTTTGTAACAGGCTTTGGATTCCTTAGTTTACCAGAATCAGTAGTGATTAAATAGCAGAAATAACGAAACGGAAATATAAAACCATTGAGTCTATAGATCAGGTTTTTTAAAGAGAAAAAACTGAGGGACACCAATAAGTGAAATTGCAGATTCCCACATCCGTTTATTGCTTTTTCAGCTCGGTACGGTGACAGGAATACTGTCATCTGTCGGGCAATTGCTGCTGTATATTGTCTAAATGATAAATAAATCCTAGTTTACAGGTCATCACTGTTCATTCAATGAATTTGATTGTCCAAAGTGAGTATATTCAGTTGGCTAGGTATCCTACATAAAGTGTAAAACATTAGCAACAGTAAAAAAGTGCACTTCTAGACTTCTAGAGTAGGTGCTAATTTCTCGAAACTATCTGGAGCCGTCTAGTTTTGTTTAAATCAATCGGTGACTAAGTAGTTTATTTGAATTGGTTGTTTAGATCTCTCCATAAATGTTTACGACCTCAATTGTTCAGAATTTTTTTGGCATATGTGCATTCTGTGAAGATTGCCTCATAATTACCACAAGCATTTTTTATATAATGATGGATAGTAACTAACAGTGGAATTCAGGACACGCGTTTGATCCTATTTGGAACTCGCCATTTGGATGTACCAGTATCCCAGAGTTCATTTGCAGTTCTAAATATCAGTTGCAAAATTCAAACAACCGACACAAATTAAACTTCATCCCATTACATGAGTCAATGGCCATCTGAACTCAGTAGCTGAGCGGATACCCGGGATTCGAGTCCCGGGGTGAACAACTCTGGGATGCAGGTACGTCCAGGTGACGATCCCCTAATAGGATGAAACGCGCGTCCTGACTTCCACTACTAGCCACCACCCATCTCTGTCTAGAGTGATGACTAGGTAGTTATCAGGTTTACTCTTCAACTGTTGTTTCTACTATGGATAGGGATTTTTTATTTGTAATGAGGGACATTCGAAGATTATTAGATTAATAGGTAAAGGGATAATCGACAGATGATACACAATAGTACAACGTGGCAAAGTGATAACTTCACGATTCAGAACCATTGGCTTAAGTTCTCAATGAACTGACACCAGAAGACAAAACAGATACGCAGTGTAGTAGGTTTCTTCCGATGAAGTAACATGTTTATACACAGAATCTTAATAAAAAGATGATTGTGATTATGTATCACATAGTTAGAGGATATCGACTTTGTAGGTCTGTTCGTCTGCAATAAATTAAGACCTAACTATTGGGACTAACTTTTGTCTCAACATATGTAGTCGGAATAAACCATTTGGTTACAGTCACTTAATAAACTTGCCGGCTATTTTGTTGCACAGTTACGAAGAAGTAACAGAAGTACAATGAGCATACCACAAATGTGGTTTTATATTTAAGTGAAAAAAAACTGATACTAATATGTATGTAATTTCTGTTTATACACTTATTAATTGTAGTCCGGAGAATGTCAAAAATGAACTTTACCTAAAGCTTCTATTATTATAAAAGGTCAAGCGTTTTATACTGAGTGTTCATTAGTGCTAAGTGGCTGTGGTGTCCAAGACGACTGAGCCTTTTGGAAGGACTCTGAAGGTATATGCTATAACTCAAAAAACCATCTACATATCTTTGTGCTTTGATGTAGACTTCATTCTTTGTTCTGAACTTTCAGCCATTGAATTTCAAACTCAAACCTTTGTAGGCTTAGGCGGTTTGGGTGTCCAGGCAGTATTTCATCCCTCATACAAATAAAATGACAAAGTGTGGCGCATATATATTTTGTGCTTCCTTGTACCAATGTTTGTGTGTTTAAATAAAATAAATAGTCGGTTAGTATCACTAGTTACCATCTATAAATTAAATGCATTACACACGGACCCACACGTAACTACTTAGTGACAAAACACTCAGCTTTTATAACTGTTCATTCGTAATGTTTATAAATGTAATCTTATTTTATAGATTTCTGTATTGTTTTTATTGGTTTAAATAATAGTTGCATACTTACATTCTATCTCTATTTGCTTCAACAGATTTTATTTACACTTTCTGCATGATTCAGAAAATGAGTTATTTATTCTTCTTATTTTTGTCTGGTTGGATATAATTTCCTGTTTTCCAATGTATTAGCTACTCATTCTCATGCCTACTCCACATTTATCAAGAGCAACATCAGGACCGTCTTCTGGCTATGCCGTAGGTGATGAGATTTGTGATACTTCATGTCCAATTGATTGGGATACAAATGTAGTAAATTTTATATCAACTTGCTTGCATCCTGGTCTAGTTCGACGAACTTCATCTAGTGCAACGTATGGCTTTGATAAGCCGAATCATTTTAGACGTCAGCATCGCCGAAATCTATCTACAGCTACAACAGTTGGATTCGGTCGTTATCCTGATAATCAGATTACAAGTGGTCGAGTTCCATATGCTAATGTTTTCAATCACCCAAATGATTATCAAGCCCCTCCACCATATTATTCTAAACGTATTTTAGGCCATGCTCGCAATATCAGCGATCCTACATCTGGTTGGGATTTCCGTGTTGTCACAAAACCTCTTATTCTTGACCAGTTAACTGAACGACCATCTTATAATTGGGATGGTTCTACCGAACAAAATCTAGTGGTGTCAGGGGAATATAAGATTCCGGATACTTCATTCATTCCTGAAAATAAACCCGAAGCTTATCCTTGTCTAACACCTCCACGTTCATCTAATGATATTACGTTAGAAAATTCGTTTATATGTGCGCGTGATGCAGAAACTCATGATACAACTACAACTGCAAAAGATGATGATACTTCTTGTTTATGCCCTTGTCTACAAGCCTGTGCTAATCCACGTGTTGTATTAATCGGATTATGTTTAACTATGTTTATGCAAACTATGGTTGTATCTGGTCTGATGAGTAGTATGTTTACTACATTGGAAAGAAGATTTAATTTAACTAGTCGACAAATTGGCTCTATGATAAGTTGTTATGAAGTAGCCGGTGTCATAACCACAGTGATTGTTAGCTTCATTAGCGGTCAGAAACATAATCGATTACGTGTTATTGGTTTGGCGACATTGATCCTGGCTCTTGGATTTGGATTATTTGCATTGCCTCACTTTTTAGCTGGTCCCTACAGACCAAACTTACCAACTACTCCTGATGGTAATACTGCTACTAGTATTAGTCCTGAAGATATCATCCATTCCTCTCTGTCGTCTTTTCCTCTTAATCAAGATTTAGAAAATTCAATTCAGTTGGATGGACCACTATGTTTCGATCAATCGCGCAATACCTTTCCTAAGAATGTTATTTCCAATTCACTTAATAATCAAACTAGTGTCGATGACGCAATTATTCGTGCTGCCCCACTCACTGCTGCTGATAATTTTAATAGTAATGATATCAATGAATCATCAAGCACAGGATTTATGGGAAGTAGTGACATTGTTCAGTCTGTTCTCTTTCCAACTTTTTGTTTTGCAATGCTACTAGCCGGGATCGGGGCTAGTCCTTTGTATGTCTTAGCTCCAACTTACTTATGGGATAACTTAACAGATAGACAATATCCAATATATGCAGGTATGCAATGTATTCTTTTATTTTGTATCAATTTATATATTTAAGTGAAAAATCTATGATTTACTTATATATAAATCTATATTTCACTCAGTTTGCGGGTAATATTGGTAAATAATTCCTATAATTATTAGGTCGTAGTTTCAAACTCCATTTTGGATACCTTGGTTTGAAAACCACTTGTCATCACTAGTGTGTCACATGAAAATTATGGCGTGTAATAGACTTCACGAATATGTACTTTGTTACTAAGTTACATTACTTTTCTGTTAGCTGACAAGGATAAAATCTCATTTCATCAAAACTGGTTTTATATCATTTTATATGTTGATCATTCCCCGAAGTAGGTGCATACTCATCAAAGTTGACTTTCAGTATTTAATATCAATCATTATAACGAATATCACAGTAAAGGATAAACATCTTTCCAATACAGATCGATCGTTCTCTAGAATACGATCCAGTATTTGAGATAGCGAAGCTGATTTTATATCAACTTCGAAATTGCTGACTTATCAGGTATAGTGTTGTCAAAATGGTCCACAAAATGAATTTGTTCTCTGCTTTATAGTTTCTTTTAGTTCTTCATAATATATTGGAGTATAACTATAAACATTTTCAGACCAGATATATATGTACATACAATAAACAGTACGTTATACTATGTTGTTACAATGAATATATGTGTTTACTTCGAAAATGTTTGAAAACACTTTATATTTACACTGCTATCTGTACACATATATTATCATACACACTCGTAAAATATGCCGACCTAGATCAGATTCATTCATTAACATACCACTTTGATAAATACATAGTCGTGGTTGTTGTCATCTTTCAACTCGTTTTAACCATAAAAATATTCTACCAGTTTATGATAATGATACTGATAATACTACTACTAATAATAATAAGTAAAAATATAGATTTCCGTTTATTATTTTTGTAATTTAATTCAAAGGAGAATGACAATTAGCTAGATCTTTAATAATAATTCATCTTTGTATATGTAAATTCTTTCTGGAGTTTAAACAGATATATATATCACTTGTATATTCAATTAACCATAAAGTTTAATTTTGTAAAGTAATGGTGAATGAAAGTCAAATAGAAGTGGAAATTATCACTTATAAGATCCTAAATCTGACAATAATGTGATTTTCATAAGATGTGATGCGAACTCATGTATACAAACCGAGCAATGTAAGGGATCACTCTTACCTCTTACTAATGTACTAAAAGGAATCTATGAAAACGTGGGAAGAACTAATTTTACACTGGTTAAAATTCTTTAGATAAATTTCACTGTTAGGAAGAAGAGTAGAAATAGTCAGTTTATGAAATAATACTGTAATATGAAGTAATATAAAGTTGTTTTAATATATATCGAAACGTCTTAACTGCTTGGGCTGAAATTATAGAGATCATGTAACTGAATAACTTGAAATACTCGAATATGATTTAAAATGAAAGCCATATGATTAATTAATGCCCGACCGTTGTTGCTACCTTGACGTGGTGGTCGGGCTTGCCTATCGTGATAAAGCAACCGAGCTATACTGGCTGGAACAGCCGTTCCTCAAGGTCCTACCATGTCAGACAGGTCGGTTGAAGAGCGGTAAAACTAAAAGTAACAAACCTAAGGTCCGAAGGCGAAGTCATACTGCTGACTGTACAGAGGTGTGACATCAGTAAGGTGTTTCCTTCAGACAACCAGCATGACAGCGATGTTGCCTTCCCACAAGGAGGGGTGGGGCTAGAAAAGGTCGACCCTAAAAATGCACACCTCGCCTTATCCCACGGATATCCGTCTCCGGCGATAAGGTCTCAACAAGTACGGAGCTAACACAAAATTACTCATAAAAAGGTCGTGTGTGACCGAGCTCAAGTAGTTGTCCCTTGGGCACTGCGGTCACGCTCTCAGGTCACTAAGACCACCTCTAATCCAATTTCGTTTTCAGGTACCTCCAGAAGAATCCTTCTACGGTGTGGGCAACCGGGAAGTGAGAACTGCCGTCATATCTCTAACAGCACTCAAGATCAGTGTATTCATAATCAACCTCCCCCTGATTAAGTGATGGAAACTTTCTGAAAGAAACACATGAATATTTTCACTTTGATTACATCATCTTTCATTTGTTCTTTTGTATCACTATGCTTTTTATGTGACTCATTTGCTTACCAAGTTTTCGCTTAAAATAAACAAAATGGGATGATGAAATATGTAAGATTTAGCATGATAAGGTTAATGAAATCATATTCAAATTAATCAAATTCCATTATATCATATAGAATCATTTGAAATTCTCACCTATATCAAATCTCGAATAATTGACCTCCTACCCTACATTGATTTAAGTAATCTAATCAATTATAACAACAATAAAAAATAGTGATTAAGTAAAAACTAAATCTTTATTGCACAATGATGTTTTGTTTGTGTGTTAATGTTTCATGTCAAAATGTATTTACCACTGCTAGAAAAACTATCAAGGTTCATAGTCAAGTTTTTCACATTCACCAACATTATGTGTGAATTGTACATCTTATCCATGGCTATTTGAATGGAGATATTTACTTTCTAATAACATTGAGTAATAGTTTCAGTAATTTATTTTAACTCTATCGAAATTATTTGAAATAGAATTTCATTTGTATTTCTATGTATTCCTTCTAGTTCTAACAATTCATATTATTTTCAATACTTAATGTATAATAAATGGTCCACCAGGGTGCTTGGTACATGTGTGGTTGCGCCACAGGATTGAGCTGTACTATTCAGATTGTAGCGTTAAGGTCTATACGGTGTCTGGTTCCCCTGCTAAACAGGCTTGAGCTGTACTGTTTGAGTTGTCACGTGAAAGTCCGGATGGTTTCTGGTTCTCCTGAAAACCAATGTAAAATTACCCTGGCCCACAAGGGTATATTAATATAACTGTGAATGTATAATAAATGTTTAAAGATCCCCGTCATATTAAAAGACTAGTATTTTAGTACTAGTCTTTTAGTATATTAAATGGTTTCAGTAATTTCTATATTGTCGTCTATTAAACTTACACAATCGTATTTATAGTTGTTTAATATATATACATTAGTGTATTGTTGTAAAATAGATAGGTGTCGTATTGATAACAAGATGTTTGAAGGTCTTTACTAACATCTTAACACAGTACGCGTGATTTTGAGTCTTCTAGACTAATGGTCATAGCTCTGAGAATTCTATGTTGTGCTAAGTATATAGTATTGAATAAAGCCATTAGAAATCACGATAATAATAACTTGGTTAGTGGAATTCAATTTTCACTTAAGAACTAGATAATCATCGCATTAGTCACTACTTAGTGATTAATCAGTTATAAATATCTCAGTCCTACAAGAGGTCATTTGATGCCTAAGTAGCTCAATGATAATATCTTAGACTGTGAAGATGGGCGACACCGGATCGAATCCACCAGGGAACATCCGTTCCCTCAAGATTTACAGGTACATCTTAATGACGAGTGCTAAATAGCACAAAACTTAGGTTCATGATATCCTGTCGACTACCTTCAACCACCACCTCCACTTCTCGACACAGTACATGTGATATCAATCCACGTAGACTATTGGCCACATTGCAATTTGGTTACTAGAGTTCGACCTGCACTAAGAAGGACTTCAAACATATGACATTGGTCATTACCCATTGATCAATCAATTGTACATACAATGATTTATTTATTTAATAGATTTTTTTATCTGTCCATACCAAAATAGATTGTATGTGTACATAATTAGAAATGGTTTATCATAATCTTCTATGTTGAGTTGCATGTATACACTGTTAAAGTGACTTTGAACATGAAACAAAATAATCTTTCAATGCTCTCTAGTTTTCAATCAACATCAATTCGTATTGAGAACAATATGTTTATAAAAATGAACTGCTACTATTCTTATCTTTCCTGATTCTTATCTTTAGTGAATTCTTAGTTCTTATTTAATATTCAATTAAAATGGAATTCTTTTATGGAGTTTTGTTCTCTGAGCTGGATGGTTTGGTCGTGGAGCTTTCATCATTCTTCTGAACTGAAGTTTGTTCTGATGATGTCATTCAGAAGAACGATGAAAGCTCCACAACCAAACCATCCATCTCAAAAAACAAATTTATTATTATTTATTTATTTCAACACATAGATAATGGTACAAAGAGGCACCAAATACATATGCGCCACACAAATCTCATTCGATATGTGTGAGGGCTGTGATACTGCCAAGGTTCCCAAACCGAAGCAGGTGATTTTCTTAGGGGCCACACCCCGAGCCTTCGACCTGAAGGTCTGATCCACAAGGCAGTGGAGCATCGTAAGGAGATGCAGTCCCATGGAAGCCGGTGACCAACAATTGGTTCATACGCCATTTGTTCCCGCAGAATACTGGAGCCCATGTGCACCATTGGTTTGGAATCCGGTTAAAGCGCCGGACATTCGCTTTTCGTCCTCTCATTTTCGTAAACAACACCCCCGCCACGAGAAGGCAGTGAGTAGGACTTCCCTGGCAGAGGCTATATACGCGTGGCCGTGTGAGAGTATTTCGAGAGGGAGAGTGGACTCTCCCCACTCTCGGTCGTACCAGGGCATTTGGGGGCATCAAAAAACAAAATTCCACCAAAATCATCCACCTGAGCTACAAATCTTCTCCACCATCTCTAAATAGAATTATTTGCATTTATCAATCTTAAAAAAAAAGATACTATAATTATTATCCATCACACATCAACAAAACAATCCAACTACAAATTACACTTACGATAATGATAATTTCTTTTCTTAAATTGATATAATTAATACTATTCATGTATTGACAATTATATTTCATCTTAAATAACACATGTGATATTTCAACATTTTCTTTCGATTCTTGTCAGTTGTTATGTGTATAATTGAGTTTATTGAAATGGTTTACTCATTTATTTATTAAAAAAAATAGTTGTTTAGGGGGGGGCGTTGCATGAGAAACTA